ACGACGCTCGCACGCATCGAACGACCCAGCCTCGGCCGTCCGATGGCCGAGGCTGTGGAGCAGGGCCCCATCGGCTTGGCCAGGCCCCGCGGGGCCCTCGGCCAGGCCCCCTCCATGGGCTCCGTGGGAAACCCCACCGGGGGCCCGCCCCCAACACCCCAGGGCCCCCCACGCCCATCGCCTTCAGGGCCCCCCAAAGGACCCTTGCAGCCGCCGCCGAAGCGGTCCGGGTCGCCTCGGAGGTCCTCGGCCTCCAGCCGAGGAGGCGGGAGGAAGCGCGGGCGGCCTGCCGCTCATGGATCAGCGCTGAGCGGGCACCTGGCGCGCGTGGACCCGCGATGGCTGGTCGCGGCTCCGCACTGCCCGCACCTCCGCTCCCGCTGAGACGGGCAACGCCAACCACCATGCACTGGGGAGGAAGGGAGGAGGAGGAGGAGGAGGAGGAGGAGGAGGAGGAGGAGGAGGAGGAGGAGGAGGAGGAGAAGGAGGAGGAGGAGGAGGAAGAGGAGGGGGGGGGCCGCACCTGGGCTGCGACGGGCTGCTTGGGACGTCGGTGGGCAGGTAGCTCAAACGCTTCTCTGGCGAACTCAGCGGCTCAGGTCTCAAAGCCAGGGACGTTAGCGCACGCTTCATGCGTTCGTTCCATTCATTGCTTGAATTTTAGCAACCAATTGCTTGCTCCCCTAATCCAGGCTGCCGCCATCTGCCTCCGAGTCCGAACCCAAGAAGGTCCCAGACTGATGCCCAAAAGGCCAGCGCCCCTCCTCGAGCCCGGCGACCGAAGTCAGCGACTTGGTTTTGGAGCCTGGCCAACTCGGACCCAGCGCTGTCGCCACTTGCCAAGGGCGGTGTCTGGCGGGACCAAAGGGCTTTGGGCTCGACCGACGGGAGGAAACACCTGCCTTGTCGCATTCTCCAGCAACCGTCCTCGTCGCGTCCTGCACGAGGCATCTCCCGCCCCGCATTGACCATGGGCTCGCCGGGGCGCTGCGTGCACGAGCGGCCCCCCCCTTGCCCCCGCTGGCCCCGCGATGCTGGGCGGCCGCGCGCGGCCATCCGAGCGGGGGCGCATCGGTGGGGGGCGGGGCTCGCGCTTTAAAATCTGGGGCATTTCGGAGCGCGGACCAGCGGCATTTGCGTGTCCCCCTTGGAACACCTCGCATTGGGACGCGAAGGCCACGGAGGATGCAGAGGCGGAGGAGGTTCGGATTCGGATCTGGAGTGCTTGCGAAGCAGGTCGCATGAACCACATGGGAACAAGGCCTCGCGCGAACAACGGGAAGCGCCCCCTCTCATGATGATCTGTAGGGGCCTGCAAAGACCCGCAAACTCGAGTAATCGCTCGGGCCCGAAGGACACACGCCCACGCGCGCGTGCTGTAAAGATAAGCCACATCGCGAGAGCCGCCCCCAGGGAACAGTCTGATGACGTTCAAGACGAAGCCCAGAAACCGTGCAAATATCATTGAACGGGCAGAGCTCGGATCTCTTGACGGCGGCCAGGCCTGCGCGACGAAGGCGGGCGCCCCGTGGCTCGGAGCCGCCAGGGGCGCCCCCGCAAGTGGCCGCGGCAGAATCCGCCGCGCTATTCCCGGGACGCCCGGGGTGCCGCCAATTCTCGAGACCCGTGACATGCCGCTGCTCTTCTTCGACTGCTGGCTCAACCGCCGTCCAGCTTCGCGGGGTAAGACCGCGGTCCACCCTGAAACAAGCTTTAGCATCGCCATGCTGCAATGCCTCCGTGATGAACTCTGCAGATGAATCGTGGATGCTGTGGCCTGTGCTCTTGCTGCAAAGATAGCGTCGATGAAATGGCGTCTCCGGTTTGAATCGGCAACGCGGGCGCGCATTGCTTGACGCCGAACCTGCGAACTTGCGGGCCTCCAACCGCGCTCCACCAGAAGCGCAGCAAGAGACGAAGGCTCTGGTTGTCAACGCCTCCAACCAGCCCCGCTCCGCAGTGGCGGTCAGCAGCCTTCCTCTACTGCGCTGCGCAGACATGAAACCAACCAGGACCATTCGATCCCGGCCTATGGTGGGCAGCAACTTTGCGTTGAAACTCCAGAAGGCACTGGGCCCCAGCCAGAAATCAAATCTTTCGAGGTTCCAGCCCCAAATGAGTAACTGATGGAAAGCTGCCCCCCAGAGGGCCCCTGATATGCCTGGCGCGCTGATTGGGCGCTAAGTTCTTCAACTGCCCTGGGGCGATGTGGTTGATGTATCCACGTGCAACCGTTTCTGTAGACAAGGAAGTTGAAGGCGGATACCTGGATTGAGCCCAGGAGTGAGGTCCAGCACTCTGGCAACGCGCAGAAGATGAGCTCCTGCTGCCTCGTGGGCTTGAGACCCATTGGAGGCCCCCGTTTGATCTATATTGCTGGTGACGTGGTATCTCGGAGAAGCTCCTGCAAAGCGATGCTCATGAGGCTGCTCAACTGATTTGGCACCGCGCTGCCGTCGAGCCGTCCTACTTTGTCGTTTCTCAGTTCCCGTATCCACCC